GTATCTCCAGATAAAAAATTATAAATAATAAGCTTTGAAGTTCTTTTATGTCTCATTGTTGCTAAAAATAAATAAAAAGTAAAACCATTGATCTCACCACCAAGATACATGATAACTCTTTTTAGTTTTACCTTCTGCTACACATATCATCATTACACATTTTAAGTGTATATATATATATATTAAGTGTATATATATATATATATATATATATATACATTCCATGTTTTAACTTTACATGTGGGTATTTGAAAAATTCTCCATGTTTTTGCATGGCTTTTAATTTTTTAAATGAAAGATCTTTAAAACTTTTTTATTTAAAGTCTTACCAATTTTTGTTCGTCTGTTTGTTTTTTTGAGTCAAAGTCTCTAAGTAGCCCAGGCTAGCCTTGAACTTACAATGCTCCTGCCTCCACCTCTCTAGTGCAGGGATATCAGGTATGTTTCACCATGCCAGGCGCTAAATATTACTAATAATTCTCATGAAAATAGCATCATTATTTATGCTGAATTATTTTTATAGAAAAATTACTCTTTTTTTTCCCTCTCCCTTAGTACAGTTAAGCTAACGAGCAGGTCTTAAATTTTCTGGAACAAGTAGATTTCTTTTCATTTAGATTCTCAACTAAGTAAATTGTTTACTGTATTTCACTTGTTTGACAAGTCCTTCCAAGGATAAATGATGTATTTCTGACAGAGTGTAAAACTAGTGTAGAAGAAAGCTAGAGTAGTGGTAGAGGACTTCTGCAACCTAGAAGATGCTAAAAACAGTGTAACTGCTAAATCTTTCCCTTGCTGACAAACAATTTTATCTCTTAGAAGATAAATAAGAGAGAGCTGGGTGTGGTGGCCCATGCCTACTATCCCAGCACCAGCACTCGGGAGGCTGAGGCAGAAGGATTGGATGTTTGAGGCCAGCCTGGGCTACATAACAAGAACCTGTCTCAAAAGAACAAAAACCAAAACAAAACAATTAAAAACAGAAGAAGAAGGAGGAGGAGAAGGAGAAGAAAAAAAGAATGAGTGGAAGTTTGACCTAGAAGAACAAATTGGTAGCCAGGTGTGGTATTCCACACCTGTAATCCCAGCACTCCACAGGCTGAGGCAGGAGGATGGTGAGTTTGAGGCCAGCCTGGGTACATAGTGAGACCCTGTTTCAAAAAACAGAAAAAAAGAACAAATTGCTTGGTGCTAGAATAGAAGTGATTGGCACTTTATCCTTTTTGGATATAGAAATAACGGCTCTCTAAAGTTTATTACAGCACAGATTGGGTTCTGAGCATGTTCTTTAAGAAAACAGATTTCAAAATGTATATAATCATTCTGTCCTCTGCAATTTAGACAGAGACAATCCTTTGAGAGAACTGAAAGATTGTCAACAAGTAAAATTAGGATTCGCTGCCAGCAGTACTATGAAAAGTTGCAGGTAATGCACTATTGGTCTGGGGATCAGAATTTGTGAGGCCCAGGTGTAAGCACTAGCTTTGTGACTAACACTGAGCTCTATTTTTAAAGTTGTTCTATCATAAATATGTGGCAAAATGGTAATGTAAAAATAATGTAAAAATTATAAAAACTTCTAGATATTTTAAATTTTTCTGATTTAGGAAGAACAGATATTCTGGGGATGGCATAATGATGTCCATGTATTTGACACAAAAACACAGACTTGGTTTCAACCAGCAATTAAAGTAAGTATTGTAAAAAGTTACTTTTCTATTCACATATTCATTGATACTTTAAAAATATTTTATTACTAGGTATCTGGATTTTAATAATCATGTTTGTAATCTCATGTAAAGTAGTTCTCTTGCGTATTGTCACCAGCACCATTTTTTAAATATGCATTTTTTTCTCTAGTCAGTTAAGATTTTCTACAAAAAAAATTCCTTTAAAGTGGTACCATCATAATTCTTACCCATAAGTGTCATGCCCCGATTTAGTAAAAGCTATTTTTAAAAGTCATTTTATAACAAAGTCCATGGGTTTTTTTTCTCCTATTATTTTACTGTTTTTTAATTTACTTACATGTGTATATACTGTTTATGCCACCTCTCCCCCGCCCCCCGCAGAACCTGTACTGCCCTCTTGTTCTCCTATTTTGCTGAAGAGAAAATATAAGAGATAATAAGAAAGACATACTGTTTTTGCAGTTGAGAGCTACACAGAGAGATTCCTAGCGTTGCTTCCATGCACATATGTATTACAACCCACATTGGTTCACCTCTACCAGACCTCTTCACTACTTCCTAGTCCCCTTCACACAGTGGCCCCTGCCAGTTTAAGATTACTATATTCGCTCCTCTACAATGAACACATCAACCACATTCAAGTTTTAGATTTCCTTTCCTTTCCCTATTCCTCCCATGTGTGTTCTCCCCATAGCATGTGACCCATGTCCAATAATATTGCTGTATTTGTTTTGGATCTATAATCTGCATATGAGAGAGAACATGCAATTTTGGCCTTCTGAGTCTGGGTAACTTTGCTTAAGCTGATGTTCTCTGGTTCCATCTATTTACTTGTGAATGACAAAATTTCATTCTTTTTTTG